ACTAAGTATAAAATAGGCCGTCATAAGGAGAATCTTCAAGAACATGGACATGGTCCTTCTAGGATATGGATTAGGCCCACGGTTATGGAGTCCATCCAATATGTGATTTATAACACTTTCAAATTATTTTTACTAAACTGAATTTTTTAGCATTTGTTACTTGTAATGAAATCTATAGACAATTATCCACATAAATACATAATTCCATATCATTTGAGGAAATATTGGGCTTTAAAAATAGGGAAATTTACTAGAGTGACCCATAATTTATGTTTAATTACTAGAATGGCATACCAAAAATATGAGTTATATGAGTAATATTTATGACTAAAATGCCCCTGTTATGCTTTGTAGAGAAAAAACATATTACAGGAATGCCATTAATATTTAATTCCAGCATGGCAAAAAAATACAATTTATTTACGATACTGCCACTCTCGTTTTTGTTAAATCTGTGGCTCCTGTTGCGACAGATTTATTTAGTACGACAGACTATTTGATCCACCACAGACTTTCTTCGACAGACTTTTTTTGTACCACAGACTTTGTTTGATTTAGTAATGACAGTTTTATATTTTTCTGCAGATTTTTTTTTTCGCGACAGATTTGTTGTATGTTGTATCCACAGATTTTCCTAAAATTTTTAGATTTTGAATGGTTATAAAATAAATCTGCCACAGATTTGTTTTCCAACCGTAGACTTTTCTTTATTTTGGCAACAGATTTTAGGATTTGAAAAAAAAACTGTCGTTTGATAACAGATTTTTTAACACAAAAAATTGATATATAATGATGACAGAGTTGTTTTATGTACTCACAGATTTTCTTTATTTGTTGACAAATCTCGCAGGTTTTTTTAAAAAATATAATTACTAAACAGTCGCATAGTGATAACAGATTTGTTTTTAGTTATGACAGTTTTGTTTTTTGGACCCTAAGCATAACAGATTTTCTCATGTCATGTTATGGCAGATTTGTTTCTAACTAGAATAACCTTTTTAGTGTTGACAGACTTTTGGTTGGCAGATTTGTTTTTAAAATTTCAAAAAATGGTGTTACATGAGATTTAATATCTAGGCTCAAATTCGACATGAACTCCAAATCTTGCCGGTTTGCTTGTATGTTTAAACCGGTTTGATTGCTTTTAGTTACGACAGATTTATGCAAATTATTGCCATAATTGACGTTTAATGCATTAAATTCCTAATATTTAGAGAAGGAATATTCTTCTAGGGCTTTTGCTCCAGAAACTGTTTTTGTTTTTGTCTTCTTCTTTTACGCTTACCCACTGTCCCACGATTTCATCATTTATTTTTCTTCCTTTTCGGGATCAAATTTGCTTCAATTGTTTCTGTTCTCTTTTTGATCCCTCACGCTTTCATCCCTCTCCTTCTATTTGAGTGTCGTTCTATATTTTTTTTTGTTTTTCTTCCTTTTGATTGCTGTGAGATCGAAGTCCAAGGAATTGGGCATGGATCAGGTGATTCTCGTGTGTGGAAAATGGATCTTTGAGAAAACGAAGTGGCTTTTTGTCGTTGATAATAGTAAAGGTTGTCGCGTACTCGAAGGTAACAGTCAAACCAGTTATGATGATTTCATTCCAATGGTGTATGAGGACTACGGCTTGGATAACAGAGTAGTCGAAGTTATTTTGAGTTACAAGATCTCAAATTCAAAGAAATTACCAGCAGATACACCACCCGTAATTATTGGCAACAATAGACAGTTTCAGTCTTTTTTGGGCCAAACGAAGAATGCTACTGTTCGACTTTGTGTTGAAGTGAAAGAGAAAGTTCTTGTTGAATCAATAGAGGAAGACATAGGGGGTTTCGGTAACTGCAATTTGCCGAATACACAACCACGTAATGTATACGGTATGGTAGAGGAAAATATTCATGTAACAAATACACACGTGGAAGAAGAACAAGTGACTAACGCAGCTGAAGATGGTGACGATGACGAAAGTAGATTTGACTACTGTGATGATTCTGACGGCACCGACTCTGATGATGAGAACTTTAGCCTCTATGGGATTCCACCAGAAGAAGAAGAAGAAAAACCTAAATTACCAATCAAGAAGAGGAGTTTAGGTGTATACATAGAAGAAGAAAAGGAAGAAGCTACTTATGCTACGCTAGAAGTGTCCTCATTGGAATTGGCGGTTGGTCAATGTTTTGAAACAAAAGAAGACTTGGAGACACGTTTGAAGATACTTACCGTTTTACAGAAGTTTGACTTTGATGTTGCTAAATCGACTCCAACATTATTAATTGTCAAGTGCTGGGTTAAAGGGTGTCAGTGGAGGGTGCGAGCAACACCAGTTGACGAGTATCCAAAGTTTCAAGTAAGAGTGTTTGTTTCGGAACATACTTGTTCTGTTACAGATCGCTCATCACGTTCCCGACAAGCTACTCACGATATACTAGGAATGCTATACAAAGATTACGTAGGTGGGATTGGACCCAAGGTTCTGCCAATGCACGTTGCTGAAGCTTTGAATAAACGATGGCAAATCAAGGTACGATTACCAATACTTTGATCAGTTTTTTTGGACTAGTTACACGTCATTGTTTCCTTTAAATAACTATTTAAATTACATTTGGTTAGATGGATTACTGGAAGGCTTATCGGACATTAAGATCTGCTCGAGAATTGGTTAGGGGTAGTCCAGAAAGTGGATACGAGCAGCTCCCGGTATACTTGTACATGCTAAGGAGGGAAAATCCAGGAACCTTCACGCGACTAGAAGTTGATGAAACTCACAGATTTAAGTACTTGTTTCTTGCGTTTGGTGCAAGTATTTTAGGATTTCCTTTCATGAGGAAAGTGGTGGTTGTAGATGGTACTTTTTTACAGGGAAAATACTTAGGGATACTTCTTACAGCAACAGCGCAAGATGGTAATTTTCAGATATACCCGATAGCTTTTGACGTTGTGGATACTGAAAATGATGAATCATGGGAATGGTTTTTTAAACAACTCAGCATTGTCATACCAGATGACGAAAGTCTTGCCATTATTTCTGATAGGCACCAATCCATCGGAAAAGCTATACGGACGGTTTATCCTAAATCTTCCAGGGGAATTTGTACATATCATTTGTACAAGAATATACTAGTCCGCTTCAAAGGCAGAGATGCATTTGGTTTGGTAAAGAAGGCAGCAAATGCTTTTAGATTGGTCGATTTTGAAAGGATATTTGCTCAAATTGAAGCTTCGAAGCCTGACCTTCATGCATACCTACAAAGAGCGGATGTACGACAGTGGACACGTGTACATTTCCCTGGTGATAGGTACAATATGCTTACAAGTAACATTGCTGAATCAATGAATAAGGTCATGTCACCCGCCAGAAGTTATCCTATTGTACAACTGTTAGAAGAAATTAGGTTCATGATGACAAGATGGTTTTCAGACCGAAGGAATGATGCACTGAATTTGTCTACATATCTTACACGTGGAGTTGAGAAGATTTTGCAGGTACTAATTCTAATCATATACAATTTCACTTTTAAACGTATATACATAATTCACTAACAATATTGTTTTGTTTTGCAGGGTCGTGTAGAGTACGCCAAGTTACTAACTGTGCAAGATATAGATGCACATCAAGTACAAGTTACTTTTGGAGCATCTCTCCATGTTGTAAATATGAAAGACAAAAAATGTACGTGTCGCAGGTATGATCTAGAGAAGATCCCATGTGCCCATGCGATTGCTGCGGGTGAAAAAAGAAAAGTCTCTCGGATATCAATGTGTCATTCTTACTATCATAAGAGTTATTTATGCAATGCATATGCTAACGCCATAATGCCTAGGGATTTTGGTAAACCTGTTCTAGATGATGTTGCGACGAAGATTTGTTTACCACCAGAAGCTCGACAACAACCAGGAAGACCAAAGAAATCGAGAATTAAATCTTCATTGGAGATTGCTATGGATAAGAAGAAGCCAAGAAAACAGCACACTTGTGGTAATTGCAATCAAATAGGGCACAATCGCAAGACATGCACTGCTTAAGGATTTTTTTCTAGTTTTAAGTACTTTGTAATTCTAAAAGTTAATTACACTTAAGGTTTTTAGCTTCTGCTTAAGGATGTTTTTTAGTTTCTGCTTAAGGATGTTTTTTAGTTTCTGGTTTTAATTACATTTTCGTTTTTTATTCTTGAATTTTTGATTAGATGGATTATTTTCTTGTGTTTCAGTGGTTGTGATTGTATCAGTAGTTTGGCTCATTAGAAAGGTTGTATAAAAGTCTGCTATAACTTATATAAAAATTTGAGACAACATACATAAAAGTCTGCTACAACCTATATAAAAATACATACATAAAAGTATGCAACTACCTATATAAAAATCTGCTACAACCTGTATAAAAGTCTGAGATAAGTAACATAAAAGTCTGTGACAACCTATTTAAAAGTCTGCAACAACCTATATAAAAATCTGAGATAAGTGAGATAAAAGTCTGTGACAACTTATATAAAAGTCTGACATAAGTAACAAAGAAAAGTCTGTGACAACGAACATAAAAATGTCATGGAGCTGAAACAACCAACATAACCAAAGCTTCCAAAAAAGCAAAAGTCTGAAACAACATACATAACCTAAATAAAAAAGTCTGAGAAAACAGAAACAAAGCTACTAGGAATCATCGAGCTGAGGTATAGGGAAGTACGTGCGACGAACATCAGAGCCAAGTGTTCCGGCATACTCTCCTAATTCGTCAAACATCTCCGCAGCAAGTTTAGTCCGGATGGACTGCATGTTCTTGTCACACAAGCCATCGAATGACTTCCCAAGCGCCAAACATTCAATGTACTTTATCGAGTAGATAGCACAATCACCTGCATCGTCATTCTTGGGGATGTCTTCAATTCTCCTAACTCCCAACCTTGCGTAGCTCTTCTTACGCAAGTGTACATGAACAAATGCCGACAACATAGCTGGGATCATCCTCTTTAAAAACATGCATTGCTCGACCAGTTGTGGATTAGTAGTCAAGGTCGGAATGCTGTCATAAATGTTGATCTGAAGTGGTTCAAGAAATGCTTTATTGAATCCAAGAAAGCGATGCGTTGATTAGGGTATTTTGAAGGATCACGCAAGAACCTTCTGCGGAACATAGACATTACAGCTCCCATGTGCTGCAGTAAAATCAAAAACAAAGTTAGAGACGTGAATTAAAAACATTTCATTAACAGGAAATAAACTGAAAACTATATCCAAAGCTGAAATCAATATACAAATCTGAAAACAATATACAGTACTTACATAGTCTTTTAACCAACCATATTTTTCATCTGGCCAACTATCTCTTGGAGTAATAATCTGGCGAAAGAATCTGGCATTGAAATTGCTGGTACTAAGTGGTTCTTCGTCCCTGAAACAGAAAACAGAAAATGAGAAAAGCAAACAGAAAATGTGGATGTTCTAGTAAAGAGAAACTTACTCAACACGGTCTTCTAGCCAATCAGTTAAACTTTCAAACTTCTCATCAGAAACTGGTTGAAGATGCATGTTCTGGTAATGATGAAGAAGGTGGAGCATCAGTGATTATGCGCTTCACTGTAGAATTTCCAACATATGGAAATTTTTGAGAACCCGCAAGTTGTGGCACACGTCTCCCCTGAGTAATCCCACCGTCCAAACTCTGTACTCCTTGTAGAATTGATGTCAATGCTGCATCCAAAGTCTTATTAGCCATATGATCTTGAGGATTAGAGAAGGTTTCTTCAAAACTTGAAACCATTTTCAGATTATCAGCCATTACTTTGTCAGTTACATCCTCAACATCATCCTCAACAGTCCTCATTGTCTTCTTCACACCTTTTGGAGCAGCTATCTTCTTCTGCTCAGGCTTTTTAAAACCTTTATTAGGCACGTTTGTCACTTTCTTCCTTGTAAGTCCCTTTGTAGGAGGTTTCTTTTCACATAGAACAAGATCCTCAGACACTTCTCCAGCCTTCTTTTTCTTTGTCTTCACGGTAAAGACAGCCTTCTTAACTACTCTTTTAACAGGCAGCCCATCTTGAGACCCTGGCTTCTCCTCTACTATCCAAGACTGAAAAAAACAATCAGATATAGGATTCATTAGCAAAATAATTCATACAAAAAATGGGAAACAGACAAAGTTTTATAAAGAATTGTTCTTGAACAACAAAATAAACTTACAGCTGATTTACTATTTGCCTCATCTAATTCAACGTTGTTGGAAGTGGCGACGAAATCATCGGGCACAACAGTGGGCTTAGACGCCTTAAGAAGCTTCAAATCTGTCTCCACAACTTCAAACCTCTTAATAAGCTGTTGATCTAAAGATTCGACTTTACTCTCCAATACATCCATTCTGCTGGTAAGATTCTTGCTCATCTCTGAAACTGTCCCATTCAAATTCTCCAGCATCTTGTAAATATCCAACAACCTAGTCTTCTCCTCTTCATCAACCTGAAATCAATCATATAATGGTTTAAGTTGAATCACTATCAATAATATAGTGGACCACCATATGTTCTTTTCTTGGTTTATGGTTCTTGTTAGATACTTTTGCTCTTTCATCATCACTAGCCTTTGACTCCTTCATTTTCTTTTCCTTAGGAATGATACTACTCTCTCCATCCTCGTTTCTAGAAACTTTACGTTTCTTTCTTGGCACTCTAACATGTTTCCACGCATCATTTTGTAAACGATTGTGGATGATGTCTTTCAGCAAGTTGTCAAGCAGCCCATCTTGATTGTCAGCCGCGTCACTCCACTTAGGATACATGTTTTCCTCAGTGACTGGCATCATATGCCTCACACGCACCTCTACACAACATTTAAGTAATCAGAAACCATTTGTTTAGATAATCAAAAATGCAAAACAGTTTCAGATTTAAAAAAAATCAAGTCTCAGTCTTTATTTAAAAACATAATCATGTTAACCAGTTATACTAGAGAAAAAACTGAAGCCAAATAAGTAAATAAAACATTAGAGAGAAACGCTGCAGCATGTTAAAATACCTGTCCATGGGCAGTCTTCTCATTGGCAATAAAGTCTTTAAACTTGATACGTTTGCGAGAAGATCTCCAATCAAGTAATGGAGTACCTGTCAATGTCTCCCTTTTAAATCCATATCCTGCTGCCAATCCAGGCACACTCTCGTAAATCCATATCAACAAGGCGTGGACGCATCCATGAATCACATAAGTATATTTCTTTAAATCAACCATCTTCACTGACTTAAGTAGAGACTGAAATGCCACTCGACCCCAAGGATATTTCTCAAAAGCTACTGGATCAAGAACTCTTTTAGCACTTGACAACGGGATTCTAGAACCGTGATGAATCCCATGAACTCCAACAGATAACAAGCATAACTTACCAACCATCATCCTCTTCTCTTTACTCCATGCCTTGCTAATATCCATTACATGCTCCAACTCAATAAACAGCGGACCATCGGACGTTCCAACACCCATTTCATTCCAGAACTCATGGTAAGCAACTTCACATGTGTCTGACTCGTCAATAACATCACAATTGAGCCCCGTTACGTCAGCAAATTCATAAAGAGAAAATCTGATTGGCATTTGATCAATCAAACACCAAATCTCGTGATCGTTGTCGACTCGCAGCTGATTTGAGAGGAAGTAATGAACGGTTTGGGCAGCCCATGTGTATTCAGCATCAGTCAATTTTATAAACACTCCCAAGTGTTGTTTTTTTACGATACTAGTTTTATTTATTTATTTGGTTTGATTTAATTTATAATGGCATGATTGTTATTATTGTTACTCAAGAAGGTTAATTAGACTTTTTACTTAAAATATGGGTTAGTCTAATAAATCAAATGGGTGTCATTTAAGTTATTTTTTCTAAGTTATGAGTCATTCTAGGTAAATCTCAGTTAAAAATATTTGGTGATTCTCACAGAGAATACTAAATTCAAAAGGGAATTTCACTTCCGTCACTTCGCAGTGCCTCTAGAAGCTTCCTTCTTCGAATACAATTGCGACGGTGACACCGTCAATTACCTCGTCGAAAGTGGCTTCAGTGAGTCTCCCTTCTCAATCGGAACACGTTCTCTTTATGCTTGGATTCGCGTAAATATGAGTTTTAGATTTCGCTCTCTTGAAGGCGTACTTTCGATCTATTTGGTAGACGTATATGTATATTTGTGTTCGTGTTGCAATCGATTTCAATGGATCTATCTGCTCATTTTCTATCGGTCCCAGTGATATTCATGTGTATATTTATGACTTCGTTTTGCTTCTGTTAAGGTTTCCATTGATGGATTAGAATTTTCTCTCTTGGTGTTCTGATTCCATTCGGCTTATGTATTGGCTTGTTTGTGAGAACTGAGAAGGCATTGCAATTGAGACTTTGGTTAAATGGAAGTGAAAATTTCCTTTAATACAACCAAACTAAAATTTAAAACAAAAAAACAATACATGTACTTTTAGCATGAATTGTTTTGCATGTGGTTATGCCTTTAGCTTGCTTTGCCTCTTGTATTTGAAGTTAGGTGATATATGAGGAATAACTCTACAGTTTTGTTTTCGTATTTGTAAAGACATTTAGTGTCTTTTCTTATAATTCTCTCATATTTGTTCATGGATCTGAGTCTGACAATAGATTCTCTCTTTTTTGTGCAGCCTGTTGCGTTGTTTCAGCAGATTTCAATGGCCTTCTTGGAGCGAGTTAAAGAAGACTTCAACAAGAGATATAGTGGTGGAAAGGAAAGATGACCACTACTTAACTCAACAGCTTGAACAAAGAATTTGGGTACTTTTGGCTCTACCATCAGAATACGGAAAACCAAAAAATTAACTGATTTAAGTGTCTGTGAATATGGTTTTTAACTGATTTAGTATCAAGTGAACGAAGTGAAATGTGTTATGACGGAGAACATTGAGAAGGTCTGAATCATATCCATGTCAATCTCACAATTTTATATCATTAATTTGAGAATATATGTCATAAATGACTTGAATTCTCTCTGCTTCTTACCCACTTCTGCGAAACTGCATGTGCTTTATGTAATTCATTAACTTGCAGGCTCTTGACCGTGGTGAGAAAATTGAGCTTCTAGTGGACAAAATCCGAGAACCTTTGTTCACAGGTTAGTAACTTACCTTTCACTCATATGTTAGCTTTTTGATACAAACATATCTCCTTTCTAATTGTCACTCTCTTATATTTTGAATTCTGATATCTACAGGCACAAGATTTCAGAGCGCCAGGAACGAAAATGACAAGAAAGATGTGGTTTCAGAACATGAAGATTAAGCTCATAGTCCTTGGTATCATCATCGCATTAATTCTCATCATCCTCCTCTCGGTTTGTCGTGGCTTCAACTGTGCTTAAAACTTGAAAGCAGGAGAATACGTTTAGGGGAACTCTGCCGGTATATGTCCTTCTTTTTTCGTTCTGTTTTCGTGGTCTCTTTTTTTATATATTTTCATTTGATTTTGTTAGGGATAAAGAAATATGGTGAATTAGTACTGAAATATGATCGTAGACAAAGTAACTTTGCCTTACACTCAGGCTGTCTAATGTAACCAATGGTAAGTATGTCTACCTTGGACCAGAGTAGTTATAATAAAAAGTACGCAGCTCGGTGTCTTGAAGAAATGGAAGGATTTGTTGGTTGATTGTTGCATTCTCAGGTTATATGGGACAAAGATTGTTGTAATAATCCATTCTGGCGAGTCTTATAAAATCATTGCAAAATAGTTCAGCTCAAGGATATGGAACTTGGCAAAGGATATACTTAGCTATGGGAAATCGCCGCTGCAGTTGACTTTAAAATCCGGGTGACCGCACTCTTCTCTTTGAAGCGACCAAAAGGGATAATAGAGATATCTCCTCATACAGCATTTAAACCAAGAGGTGCAGTGTTTGTGACACTTATCAACTGACAAAAAACAAGAGGGGATCACAAAGAGCATCCCTATGATTGTCAGAGACAGAGAAAAATTAATCATGGTACTCTCCTGTGTTTTTTTTTTTTTAACAAGAGAATGGGGACGAAGAGGTAAAAGATAGATGAGAATTAGGTGAATGGTTTTTGTTCCAAGTCTTGGTTTTGTATGAGTTGAAAGAAGGAAAAGAAAATTAAGGTTTCTTTTTATATATTGTTTATCTGAAACTTTATTTCCGAAGGGAAATCTCTTTGGAATTAGGAGGTCTAAGTCTTCGAATAGACGGTAGACATTCAAGGTATTATATTATGTTAAAGTTTTCTTTCTATTTGGTTGTTATAATTGCTTTTTTTTTTGTCTGTAGGACGACCTAAAACAAGTGTCGATGCAATAACTTTACTTGGAAAAGTCTGGCAAAGTAGAAAAAGGGATGAAATAGACTAATGAAGAAAATCTCCAAAGAAAGAAAAATCGACGAATGAAAAAAAAAAATCATAAAGAAAGAAGAAAGACATGACCGTAATTGGCCCTTCCTTTGCTCCCCACTTTCTTTGTTAGCTTCAGACAAATGTGAATGCATCAAAAGGTATGTGCAAAGAATAAAAAGTGGAACAAGGCAATGACTTTTTAGTTTTAGTATTTACCATGGAAACTGAAGGATGTTGATGATGATGACAGGTTTAGTGGTAAGGAAGACTTCCATACCCAGAAAATGACTTGATGGAAATTGTGTGTGCCAAGTTGTTGGAGACAGATCAAGACTTTTTAGACCTCTCACTAGGAGTAAGGTATGTCTTAACACTGCTAAAGCCAACAAAGAAAGGTTGAAAAGAAAAGAAAATTGTGACTTGGTTGGTGAGATAGTTATTGGTGAGATAGTTATGGTGTATAGGTTGGGACAGTTGTGGAACGTAGGGGATTATAGTTTTGGTATGTGTCATAGTGGAACTGAGAGGCTGAAGATCAACAAGTCTTGTTGAGACTTAAGCAATTAGTTATATTCTGTTTCAGTGTTAGATGAGTTGTCTATTTAGTATATGAATATGCTTCAATACAATACCAACAAAACAGAACAAAAACATCAGATAAAGATACAACAAACGTAAGGAAATGCTTCAATACAATACCAACAACAACTTGACAAACATTGCAGCTTAGCCACTAGACAAGCTAAACGGTTTCTGCCCTTAACTAGACAAGCTAGCCACTCCGGTTTGTATGAAGCAATGAGTTTTGCTATTGCCAATCCAAGTAACACTCCAAGCCCATACCCTATTGCCACGCCTTTCCAGTTTAACACTTGCTCATCTTCTTCCTCTTCTTCTTCTTCTTTAGTCTGCTGTGCTGGTGGCGCGTTAGTCCCAAAACAACTTTCTTCAAGAGGAAAACCACAAAGCCCTGCATTTCCTTCAAAGGACGATCTATTTTGCCCAGTTATCTGTGTTCCTTGTGGTATTTCACCATTGAGTTGGTTGTGAGACACGTTTATATACGCCAAGAATGAGAGAGTCCCTAATCCATTAGGAATAGTCCCTGAGAGGTGATTACTTGATAGGTCTAGTGACTCGAGCTTCACAAGATTGGCCAAAGATAGAGGAATATGGCCTGTGAAGGCGTTCTTCGATAAGTTGAGTGCGATCAGTGCCTTTAGGAGACCAATAGATTCAGGAATTTCTCCTTCAAGTCTATTTCCAGAAAAATCAATGGTGGCTGAGGAAGTAACGACCCTCTTTTGCTCCATAGATAGACCTTTATATTGTAAATCTATAGCTTCGAGATAGGTAAGGTAATAGATTCCGTAAACAGCCGTCTCATATACCATATATAGACCGAGATCTTCATTCATCGTGAGTGATGATGCTTTCCAATTCACAAAAAAGTTTGGGGGCAAGCTTCCGGTTAAACTGTTACCAGCTATCTCAAGTATCCGCAGCTCAGGAAATCCCAGAGGACCTTGATTGGGAGGAGATAGAGGACCATAGAATTTGTTTGAACGGAGGATAAGGACTTGCAGTTTCGGTAAAGCTTTAAGGGAGAAAGGAAATGTATCTTTGATTTCGTTGTGGTCCACACTTAGAAATTGTAGAGCTGAGCAATTTAGAAGAGACCTTGGAAGCTTTCCTGTTAATCGATTGTAGCCAACGTCGAGTGACCGTAGAGGTGCATCGGCATAATACTTGTCTGGAATACTTCCTCCCAAGTTGTTCTTCCGGAGATCCAAAATCAAGAAGTTACTTAGACATGGAGGTATTTGACCGGTGAAGTTGTTGTAGCTTAGATCAAGAACATCAAGCGAGCTTCTGTTGCATATTGAAAGAGGTATGCCGCCACTGAAACTATTGTTTTTTGCAGAGAAGTAGCTGATAGAGAGTGGCAGATGCGGAAGTGCTCCTTCTAAACTATTTGAATCCAAAAGTAAGATCTGCACCGATGAATTTACAAAAGTTTCTGATGAACCTTCGAAGCCAGTTAACAAATTATTTGTAATGAGAACTGAGCTCAGACGTGGAAGGCTCCATAACCACCCTGGAATTTTCCCACTGATTCTATTGTTGGATACCGAAATATACTTCAAATTTTGAAGGGTCTTTAAGATGTTTGGGAAATCACTAATGTTGCAGTACTCCAAACGCAACGCTTCCAAGGTCGATGGGATGTATGAATCTGAACTTAAACTAGCCTGAGATATCCAGTCACCTGATAGATCGAGGAGCAACAAAGATTTGAGAGAGGAGAAGAGACTTAAGTCAATTGGGTAGCTTGTGTTTAGGAAAGAAAGGTCGAGCTCTTTAAGGTTAATGAGCTTTGAGATAGGCTCTAGGATTTTTCCTTCAAAATGGTTTTTGCCTAGGTACAAACTCTCTAGCCTTGATGACGAAAAGGAGTTAGAAGCTTCAATTGAACCGTTGAGATTGTTTCCACCTAATGAAAGATATGATAAGAAAGGCATAGTGAAGAGAGAAGAAGGGATGGTTCCAGAGAAGTGATTATAAGAAAGTTCCAGCCAAGAGAGCTTGGTTAGATTTTGTACAAGTGGGAGACAACCAGTGAGGTCGTTCGTGGAAAGGTACAACTCGGTTAATTGGGTTAGGTTACTAATTGTGGGGGGAACTTGACCGAAGAAGCTATTAGAGGTAACATCCAATACCTCTAGTTTGTGTAGATTGCCAAATTCATAAGGGAGTGAAGAGGAGGTGAAGTTGTTGAAACCGATATTAAGGTAAGAGAGGTGGTGCAAGTCAAACAGACTACTGTTGGGATTTACAGTTTCAGAGAAGTGATTATGAGAAACATCTAAAGCTGTGAGCTTGCGTAGATTCCGCACAAATGAGAAACTACCAGTGAGCTCGTTATCGGAAAGGGCTAAAAAGGAAAGCATGCTTAAGTTACTAAATGAAGAAGGAACTTGGCCGAGGAAGCCATTAGAGTAAAGAGATAAAACCTCTAATTTGTTGAGATTTCCAAACTCGGAAGGGAGTGAAGAGGAGATGAAATTGTTTTGAGGGAGAGAAAGGTAACGAAGCTGATGAAACTGGAAGAGGCTGCTGTTGGGTTTCAGAGTTCCACTGAGACAGGCCCCGAGTCGTAGCTTCGTGACCGCGCCCGTGGAGTTATCGCACCACACTCCATTCCTAGGGTCACTATGGTTGCAAGCACGAGTATCAAACTCGTTCTTGAACTGCGTAAAGGCTTGAATCTGATGGGGACCACAAGCAACAAGACCAACAACAGGGTTATTAAAAGTGAAGAAGCTTGAAGGGGAGACACAAGAGAGTAAGAGTAGCGAGAGAAAATTCAAACGCAAAAGCGGTTCAGACATGATGAAAACTTTTTAAGAAAGAATGGATTTTGATATAAGAAATGTGAGAGAGAGGAGATTGGTATAAATAATGATAGGATGTAGTTTTGCATAGTGGAAAAAGTTAGAGCTAAGTGAAGTTTTCATTGAAGTGAAATCAACGTTAGATGACTTTTCTAATGTATAATTTGGACTGCAATCACATCACTTTGAAATTTATTACATATACATTATTTTCAAAACCACATGAATAATTGACCACTACATGTGTTACACACCAAGCTGATGTTGGTGAGTCAAGATCCTACCACAAATGTCCAACTGATATTGACCCCTACATGTGTTACACACCAAGCTAACTGAATAGGAAGCTTCCTTGGTTTAGATCTTTTGTGACGTGAGGAAAGGAGAGAGGTTACGAGAGTTTTGATTTGGTGTTTCGAGACACTGGAGCTTTAGTGGTGTTATTGAATTGGGCTTAGTAGGTTTTAGGGGCCGATTAGTATAGCTTTTTTTTTTTTGTTTAAGAGCACAAATAAAGTAAGGATTCAAAATGGGTTGGAGTAAAAATTATATATTAAGATATAAAGTAAATATATATTAGATTACATTAGGACTACCTATATTAGGGTTTATAGTAATATTTTATAACTGTTGAAAGAGGTAAAAAAAATCGAAAATATGGAAAAAAAAATTAAACCACCCACAAAAAAAAAGATTAAGATTAAAAACGATGACGAGAGAGCATCAAGAGAAACGCTTAACAGGTTCATTTTATTTTTGTCTTCTATTATGTTATTATTTGATTTTCAATTGATTGTTTTTCACATGTTATTTAGTTTTTCCTATTCCTATGTGGATTAAGTTTACTCTATGACCTATGTTATTTTGTTGCTCATATTTTTTTTTTCTTTTTGACATCATTTGGTTGACAAAATCGAACGCATACTTCAATTTTTACTACGCGGGGTAACACTACTTGTTGGAGTCAAACTCTGGTGGGGAAAACTGCTGAAGTAGACGGTTAACCACTTAACTAAATACGCTTCCCCACATATGTATCTATTTTTCTGTAGACTAACTGATACATATCCCGATCATGTTAATTACAATGTTAGAGGCATCAAACTTTATCCTATTATTATAGAACACAAGTCAATTTCCTCAAAATTGTACCTTTCCCCTTATGACACATGTTTTAAAACTCAAGTCTTTCTATTTTACTCTCTTAAACCGATTTACCTATTATTATTATTATTATTTTTTTTATAATCATCCGACTTCTTAATTACTCTTTCCCACAATCTCTAGATTCTCCTCTCCCCTTCCATCGCATCAATAATTCGATGATTTTGTTCGCCTTCTCTTTCCAAGATTTCACCTCTTTTATACAACTACAGAACTACTAGGGTAGTTACTGAGGTCTGCCCTAGTAAAATACATGAGTAGTCACATGTTCTTTATCATTTTCTATTTTATTTTTTTCTGATACTGGTGATTAAATGGTACTAGGTCCGGACCCGCACGTACGTGCGGGGTTTTATATTTTGAAAGATGCGGGTTGAATATTTGTTGTATAACGTATAGTGAAAACGGGTCTAACATTTAGTGTTGGAAAACGTATGTATGGGGTTTTTTGTTTGATTGGTTAAAAAGATTGGAAAGAATAATTAGTAAGAATTTAGTAATTTTGATTGGTGAATGATTGGATATCTTGGTTTGGTTTTGTTGAATTATTGAGAAAGTTGCAAAATTGGTTGTAATATTTGTGAAACGAAATTATTATTCTGAGTTATATTGTATATTTTTATTTCTTAAACTATAAAATGATTTGTTTGGTGAAATAAAATTATTGTTTGTAATTTGATGCATATTTCATAAATATAAATGATTATAATTCAGATAAAGGCCCGTTAATGATTCCCCTTTTAATTAGGATTGGGCTGGATTTTTGATAGACCCATTTAGAGATCCATGGTTTCGTTTTTGTTTTTTAATACAGAATCAAATGTTTTTTTTTTCTTTTGGACAGAAGTGATTATATCACGATTCTTTGTCTTATGGTCTTCAAAGAATGAATCCCTAAAAATCATAAGCTTTTCCGATTTCTCAATCAATGTCAAAAGTTTCGATCATCAATCGAGTCTCCGTACATCTAATTTCCATATCAGATTCGGAAATTCTTCAAAGAGGTAAGGTTTTTAGAGATTCTTCTTCAATCAATCTATTTTTATAATCTGTTGATTCATTTACAATCTTTGTAATTCTGTGTTTCAACAGAGATCTTGGGCTATCACTGTGGGTATACGAACTTGCATGAGTAAGTATTTTCAATTATATTTGTTGTTTAGATCCGTAATTGCATGTCTATAATTTTTGTGTTTATTCGGGTAACTCTATCTATTATCAAAATCTTCTATGCGTTGGAGTGAAAAGAGGCTATAATTTGATTTTGTATAGATTTAGGCAATAGATTTTGTTTCCTAATATTTAATTTGTTCCTAAATTGATTTTAGATAATGATTGGATGATGATTTTGTCTGAGGAAGACGATTTACAAAGTTAAGCTTTCTATTACAGCTCTTACATAACAAAACAATGTCTTAATATATATGGTTCTGATTTTACCAAATACAATGTTTACAGAGAAGGCAAAATATTCGAGTTGATTTCAATCGGAGAAGACAAATTTGATGTCCTTTAGTAGCCATAACGGAATCTGGAAGCTATTTTAAAGGTTAGATTATGTAATCTCTTTCTGAAATTGTAGAGTTGTTATATAAAACATATAGTTGTCAATCTATACTTTTAAATATTGATATTGCGTAGCTTAACATTTATGAGTACAATATAGTTTTTAGAAAACTTACTTAAATTTAGGGAATATACTAATAAAACTTTTTATGGAAAACAGAGTAAAATAGAGATTAAATACAAAAGAAACAAATAGGGTAGGTTTAAGTCGATTACAAAAGGAGTTTTCCATACCTCCAAGGAAGTTTTTAAAAAGACAGAGTTCATCTCCTCTAAAAATGTAAAAAGAAACAACATAAACTAAGAGAAACTGAAGTAACCTTGCAAATCCAATCCCTCCTTCCTTCACATGTTAGTTCTCAGCAACCATCTCCATCATCACATCCTCTTCGTCACTTGATCCATCGTCGAATGATCGCTTGCAAAAAAACATATGCTTTATGTTTACCTAGGCTATGAATCTCAACCAAAATATATGCCAATTATAAGAGAATGTTTAACTTACAGATAACTTGGAATGTCAAGTTCATAAAAGATTGGATCAATGTATAGACGTGAACAGCCATATTCACTCATTAAAACATTGTTTCCTATAGAAAAAAAAAAAGATTCAGTCAATGTAACTAATAAAATTGTAAAGTCAGTTCATAAAACTATAATAAGAACCAACCACAGTAAGAAGTTATTCTCCAGAAACGCAAGACTGCAACAATCTTATCATAGTTGTAGTTTATTCCGCTTATCTTCTGAGACCAAGTGTTCACAAAGAACTCACACCACTTTCCCACAGCTACGCATTTTATTGTCTCCCCCCTAGATTAAAAGTTTAATTTCCAAACAAAAAGAACAGTCAATCCAATTTCTTAAAGTAATTTAAGAACAGACATTGAAATTCTGTCACAGAGGGTAAACTAAACTTACACATTATTTTTAATTTTGAAGCAGACATAGCGAGATTCATAGTCTGTTTCCCCTCTGCGACACACATATGGAAACCTTCCTATGGTGGAAACAGCAGAAATAACTCCCATAGCATCTAAGTAAATATTACAGGAAAATGGTCATATAAGTCTTCATATATAATAAATCTTGGTATAAAACATTTAATTTCAGAAATTATTACCAGAGACAGAGTTTTTATCATCTTCATGAGCATTTCTGACAGTATCAGGCCAAACAAAGTTCCAGTAATTGTTCCAGGACTTAGATCTAACAGGCCACATGGTAGTTCCACTCATAAACTTAACCTGAAGTGGCATAGTTGAATATCTGACTTGGTTTGGAGGTTTGATGACTTGAAAGTCAGTCATGTAGTACCAAACGTCTTGTTTGAGTCCTCGCTGAAAGTTCCAGAGGTAGTAACCTTGTGGAATTGTTGCGTCCATAAAATTCCCCTATACAAAGGAAACAAACAAATTAGATAAGTAGTTTTTCAACCCTAGAACATGATTTTAAAAAGGTGTAAAACTAAACAATAGAATTAGAAACAAACCTTCTCATCTGCGAGAATCATTGTAGTTAGATCACCATTTAGAGGATTATGATGCCAGATACTCATTATCTTAACATAAACCCTCCACTTTGTGGAATGTCTTCGCAAATCAGAGAGAAGGTGCATTTTCTCCATAGTTTCTTAAAGATTTTGTTTTGCTTTCAACTGGGAAGATATCTCTGTAAATCTAAAATCTCTCAACGCATATATATAGATATAGATATATTGGTTAAGAGACGCAAAGGATTAAAATAAAAAGAAAAGGAAACTGAATCGTTAATAGAATATATAAAATATAAAAATTTGAAAAGACTGATGCGAATCATTGCTAATTATTACAAAAGGATACAGTTTACATTTTTCAAGATACACCCAACGATTTAGATTTGCCTAGATTGTATAAACCGTCAAATATGGAAGTTTCTTTAGTTTTTGTTATTCATGATAGATTTTTTATATAATAGATTATATATAAGTAAAATATATAAGTAAATATGTACTTAAATAATAGTATCGATTTTTTGTAACAGGATCTAGTTTTTGCTATTTGTTAGTTACAATTATAATGGTACTGATGCTAGATAATTCTATGTTTACAGACCAGGCAACATCTTTAAAGAAGGCAAATTTGAAAGCAATGATAAAGCCAGTCCAGATTCTGAAAGCACTGATAAAGGTTAGTGAGGTCTAAATGATTCAAGAAGTATTTAGATCCACAATTAAATATGAAGTTGTCGTGATGTGTTAATTGTTTTTCAAAAATGATTTTACTATATTCACTGTTGACATGTATGTTAAATTCTGCAATTGGTTGATAAGATATTAAAGTAATACTACTTGTTTATATGAATTAACAGAATATTTAGATTCTGTATATGTTTTTTGAATTAGTAAACTTTTAATAGTTTACCTTTTTGTACTTAATATGATTTAAATGTAAATGAAAAATTATTTAAAACAAATTTATGCTGATATTAATAATCAAAATTTCTGAATCTATATTATTAAAAGAGAATTGAGAGAATAACAGACCAAGTTTGGTAAAATAATCTCTTCAATGGAAGTCGTAGATTGAAGAGATTACTACCAAATTTCCATTTCCATACCAGCTTCTACCTGTTCAGACAACCAATAAGAAATTAGTAAAGTGTAACAGGTGAAAATAATAATCAGTTTTTATTGATTTTTACCTCTTAAACCAAATGTCTTTTGCAATGTGGAACCTTATAGGTTCTGAAAGACTTCCTTAAACACCACATTCAACGTTTCCTTCTGCGGCTTTCCTTCTTTGTCCACTATGAGTATCTTCAGTCCTTTTTTTGAAGTTACCCTTGAGATAGCTACATAGAGTTGGCCATGAGAAAAGCATGGCCTTGGTAGATAGATGCCAACCTTATTAACGATTGTCCCTGGCTTTTATTAATGGTCATAGCAAAAGCAACTGCTATTGGAAGTTGTCTTCGACGCATTTTAAACGGAAGTTTAGTATCAGATGGAGATATCAATATCCTGGGAAGGAGGACTTTATCTCCGACTCTATCACCTGTAATAATGACAGCCTCAATGACTTTATCACCCATTTGTGTTATTTGCAGTCTAGTGCCATTCATTAGCCCTCCTCTTGGATCTAAATTTCGTAGTAACATCACAGGACAACCAACTTTCAACCTTATACCATGATTTGGCAATCCAGATATCTTTAGACCGTTCAAAAACTCTGATGTCAACACGGGATTATTTGTACCTCCAATATCAGAAGGATCAACAGAATCTGAACTTAGGTATAGTTGTTC